CATTGAACCTTATGGGGAAATTTGCTTCGGGGTGCGACCAGAGTCACGGAATGAATTAAGTTCGTAAACCGAGGTTCCACTGTACTGCACTTAACTTTGAGGGAAATCCTTTTAGATAAGGAGTTGGTAATATGGCACCTACAACACTCCTTGATGGCACTCAAGAAACCTCACATTTCTGAGGATTTTTTAAAATATAAATATAGGATTTATTTTTAAAGCAACTTACACAATGGTGTATTTAAATTTATCCTTGGTTTTAAAATAAATACATATTGTTCCACATGCAGCAAACCCCAGAGGAGTAATTCCTAGCGTTGCAAAAGGCTGCAAGAGTGGAACTTGCTTTATGCCTTCTCTGACACCGCATTCATTAGCAACCAAAATGAACGGGCAACACTAAAGGCAGGAACAGAAATTAATTGCACAAATATGTGTGCTTGCATCCTCACACATCATGCAGTAAGAAAGACAATGCTTTGAGCATGGAGTTTAACAAGAGTGTCAGACTCACACTGCCAGGGAAATATGGAACTGCTCAGTGTTTCTCAAGCTCAGCAACTTTTAAAATGTATGGACTTCGACTCCCAGAACTCCCCAGCCAGCATGCTGGCTGAGGAACTCTGGGAGTTGAAGTCCGTACATCTCAAAGTTGCTAAGCTTGAGAAACACTGCTGTAGGTCAGCACATCGGGAAGGCACCAAAGTGGTTAAAATTAACTTGGAATAATCCCTGCCCAAGCAAAAATCACATAGACCCCCGGGAAAAAACAGTCGTCTTCGAACCAACCTTCTACGTCTCTCCAACGTCTAAGGCAGGCGGACGCGGGGTCTCCCGCTGTGAGGTCAGACTCACCACGTGTTTCCGCCAGTCACGCGCCTCGCCAGGGCAACGTCAGGAGGGTCGTGGAAGCCGCCGCCGCCGCCCCTGCTCTCCCGCTTCCGTCCGGGGACCCTCCGAGGCAGCGCCACGCGTCCAATGTGCTTCTTTGCCTGGAGAAGAAATGGCTCAGCAGAGTTGCATTTTTTTTATTTACCTGAGCATATGCCCATACAATTTTTTCTGGTTTTGCACCGACTTAGTTCTAGCGGCGCGTTGCGTCGAGCGGTTCAAGCAGGGCTGAATGCGGGAATGGGGCTACCTCGAGTTGCAGTCCGAACTCCGTTCCATAAACTGCAGCAAAGAATTAGTGGCCTACGCTGACGCGGTAGAATTTTACTCACGAGGCTCAAGTTACTCGTGAGCAAGATTTCTACAACACCGCAAGCCAGGTTCCCCCAATCCCGAGGCTGCCGCACTTGTTCCACCGCAACTCCGGAGCTGCGGTGGAACACAACCAGGCCTTCCCGCCCAGGCTGAGAGCGGCTCCACTTCTGTCTTCCCCAGCCCTAAAAACGTGGCCTTGTCTACACGGTCTTCCCTCCATCCTCTCAGGCTGCAGGCTGTCCACCTCGCCTCCGCCCGCAGATCTCCCCTGGCCCGCCTTGCTTACCTCCATTACCGCCGAAACGCTACCTCCCTCGCGCGCCGAAAAGAGAAGGGCCGCCCCCGCTGCCTTCGGCTCCCTTTATGCTTTGCTCCAGGACAAACCATTGCCAGAATGGCGGGGGTGGAAGGGCGAGGCAACTGCTCTCGGGGAGGAAGAGAGCAAGCCGCCTCCGCGGCCCGTCGCTGGAAATCTGCGCGTGCAGAACGCGCGACCTTCGCTCACTTTCCCCTGCAATAAGCAAAAGAAGGGCGAGAATTGTATAAGTTACGGATATCTCTCTCCGCCCCCTACCCGTGGTTGATAAACCACGGGACAGAAGATAGAGCTGTATATATTTTCTGTAATAGCTACATTGCCTATATAGATTTTTTTTTTGTAATTGCAGGCCCGGGGAATTCTGAGAGTTGCAGTTCACACATCTTAAAGTTGCCAAGTTTGAAAAACATTGGCTTAAGTCATATTTTCAAAATAACGTAAAACATGAGTACAAAATCCTGTTTCCATCCTTTTTTTCCCCATGTGATCATTTCTCCCTTGGTTTCAATGGGCAGTTGGCAAGGAAAACGGCTTAAAAGTAACCTTGTCTAAAGGCTATCAGAAAAAAATTGTACAGCTCTATGGGCATAATAGGACCACATAAACTTGAAGTGGTCTTTAGTCTTCTCAAGGTAGCTATAAAATCATTGTTGGTTAAAATGAGTCCCCTATGTTTATCATAAAGGGCCTACTTACTATTTGTCCTAGAATACCACAAGTTGAAAAATTAATGCCAAAGGAGAGTTTTTACAGCAAAAGTGGCTGCGCCTCTTGTTTTAATGGAAAATCTGCAAGGATCTTGAAGAGCCAAAAAAGAAAAAAAAATCAGAGCACTTCTGAAAAACTAGAAAAGATGTCCTAATTCCTGGCTTTAAATGTGACTTGCAGTCATGCCAATTAACTTATGTTGCACAAAAGAATGGTTTTGATTAGAGAAAACTTAAGATGTACATTTTGAAAGGAACTGTCTCCTTTTTATGGAGATTTATGATGTTGGGAAAACAAAGTGTTTTGTGGCACTTTGATGATTAACAGATGCATTATGGTACAAGTATGAAGTGTTACCCTAGTTTGGCAAATGAATATGAGAAGGGAAAAAAGAGAGTAAGAGCAGACGGACATGCCATGCAAAAGACGTGTTTTTGCTGAAGCAGTTCTAGGAGCTTTTACAGGATGATGAAAATCTTGCTTTGTGGGTAGAAATGCATATAAATTTCAGATCTTTATTTAAGCTGTTCATAGTGTTTCAAGTAAGAAATACAACTCGACAGATTTAGCTCCTTGCTGTACAATATTTTACTTTTTTTCCAAATACACTTAACAAACAGGTGAATTGATTATAAAAGTGGCAGAATTAAAAGAGATGACAGCTGGAACTGGAGGCTGAAATACTGTACTAACAATCTGAGATGTGCAGATAGGCCACTTTATTAACAGAAAGTAACACAGATTTAGAATAGATCATTATGAAGGTAAACATGGAAAATGAAAAATTCAGGCTAATATTAAACTCTTTGTTGTTGTCATTGCTAAGAAGGCATTGGGTGGCAGATCAATTCCTTGTAAGACTTTTAAATTATGGCTGTTTTAGGGATCTTATTGCCTTCTAGAGAATGTATCACCACAGGATGCAGAGAATGTGGAAGGTGTGTTTTTGGAATAAAGTGTGGGTGGGAATAGCATGGATGGACATATATATATTTGCCAAGAGAATGATTAGAGAAAGGAAGAAAGCATGAAGAAACCTGGAAGAGGTCTTTAAGGTGCCCCTGATGATGGAGGACAGTGTGATTTATTCTCTGTCCCTGATAAAGTCCATCCTCAACTTGGCTAAGTTTCTCACAGCAGCAGCATTGGTGGAAGAACAGATCCAGCAGTGTTTGTGAGAGCTGGGAGATGCAATGGAGTCATGGCCACAGAGTTATTATTGCCAATGTGGGAGCCGTTGTTAACAACAAATCATAGCAGCTGAAGGACTGGCCATAAGGTACGGAATGGGGAGAAGTGAATGGTGGAGACCTGCAAAAGATTGAAGTCTTGTCAAGACCTGAATGAAAGAGGTACACTCCTCCTGGTACTATTGTATCTATTAGCAGTCCTTAATATCACTTACCAGGGTAACCTTCTGGACTACCTGTGAGAGTGGAGGATTGGAGGCACTCTGTTACAATGGTTTTACACCTTCCTTAATGGGCAGTTCCTGTTGATGGTTGTGCGGAGGACATCCATGTCCATTAATTTATGGGATGCTTCAGAGGTCAGTTCTCTAGCTTTAACTTGCCATCCCAGACTGCTCTGGAAATGCTATGGATGTAGTGTCCTGGTGCCTGGAGGCCATGGCCAGCTTCAGCTTGTGCTCCTATTGTCACAGCCACATTAATTCATGCCCTCATCACTACTCAGCTAGATTATTGCAATCTGCAGTACATGAGGCTGCCATTAAAGACCACATGGAAGCTGTATTTGGTCCAGAATGCAACAGCCCATGTGTTAGTGGTGCATAATGCCAGAAGCATATTATACCGGTGCTACTGTAGAGTAAGGAAGATGACCTTGACAGGTTATGCAGGAACTGTTACTTAGGCAAAAGGAGTTGAAGTCCGGAACAATGAGATAACATTTGAAAATGGCTGAGACAGATGCCTCCTTAATTCACTGAACTGTTAGAAGGAGGAGGTACAACGCAATCAGACTTACAAGTTCTGTAATTATAGCCCATCTTAATAAAAGTAGTTTTAGCCTTCTTGTGGAGTTGATTTCCTGGTCTGACAGGAAGGCTGTCTTCTTAGTGGAGCTGATAGCTATAGAATTTACACCAGTGCAAATTTAAAGTAATACTTTTGACCTTTAAAATCATATAAGGCTTGGCTCCTGGATACATCTACAATCACATACTCGAACTAGAATTATTCTAACCAACATGGTCATCTTTGGAGAAACAATTGGTAAGTGAGGGGACTGCAGTTGAGTTGCTGTGTTTCAGCTGCAGCATCCACACTCCTGATTGAAATTACACTTAATCCCACTTTGATTTTGTTTAGTAAAATACTTAAAATCAAACTTCTCTGAAGACTGAGGGAACATCTGTGTTGAATGTGTTGTGTTTTTGAAGGTGATTGATTTAAGCTTTGTGCCATAAATTGGATTATTAGTATTTACATACATGGTAAATACAATAAATTATATGCACAAACACACAGAGATGTTTTAAATGTTACTATGCCTGTGTTAACACCCAAAAGTCAGGATTGAACTGTAGAAGTATGAAATGAATATATAAACATAATATAACCTCAATCTGAATACATAACAAATCTACACTTGATATGAAAAAATGAGCTCAGGAATAAAGATGGACAGTGTATTGTCAAAGAGGAAGAAGATAATGTCATTTAGACAAGATTATAAAGGATAAGGACATATCAGTGAAACTAAATTCAGAACAACTAAAGCAATTATCTCTCCAATAGTAATGCATGGCTATGAAAACTGGACACTGAGAAAGAACAAGAAAAATAAATTAGAATGCATTAAGACTAAGGCTTGTGCACTCCAAGAGTATTGTTGACAGCAAGAAGAACTAATCAATCAGTCCTGGACCAAATAAAGGCTGATTTTTTTTCCTTATTAATCAGCAAGCAGAATCTCACATATGTTCCATATCTCATGTGGGCAGATTAGAGGCTACATCACTGGCAAAATGGGAAGACAAATAATTGGATGGGTGGAATGAAAGAGCTTTAAATTGTTCCAGGAGACAGGTCAAGATGATGACCATATTGTCCATGTTGCCAGGAGACAAGCCTGATTCAGTGGCACCTAAGTAGAACATAGTTGCAAAATATAGGATTAAAGTTTCCAGATAGATGTGTATTATGAAATAAACTACAGTTTAGTATATGTGAAGCAATCCATTATATACTTTTAGTTGGTCTTTATAAGAATTATTACACTTCTATTATTTTTACATGTAAATAGTTTGTAAATAGATCCTATGTATCGTTATTTAGAAATAAATCCCATTGAGTTCAGTGAGCCTTACACCCAATAAGTGTATGTAGAACTGGAGCCTAATAATTGCACACTAAAAAATTTAGTTTCCTATATATTTAATCAAAAAGCAATGGCCCAAGTGAGTAGAGAACAAGCACATATGCACAAGATGTTCCTAATTTGTAAATTTCAGTTTTACTTGAGAAACCACCAGGGGTCTCCATAAGTCTAACAATATTTAGGAATAAATACCAAAAAAAAAATGCTGGCTTAAAAAACAGAGCAGCTTCTTATTTCTTAAAATTCCTGATACAACTCAGAAAAAATATATTTATATTTACTTTATTTTATGTGAATCAAATCATTAAAAAGTTAATTCTGCAACCATTGCTTATAATCAGAAGTATATTGAATATACGAAGTGTAGTTTCCAAGCAAAATTGGAGAAAGGGCACTTTATTTTACTAAGGCTTGAGGACTTACGACAAGGTCAGAGTAAGTCATCATATGGTTACAATGTTACTTTGTGAAAATCATATACTTAAAATTGATAAGATAATTATCTATGGAAATATTTAATTTTGTTAAGATAACTCTTTATTCCTTGGTAGACAGTTCAGTTTATTTGCAAGAACCTTTATCATATTGCAGGATTTTCTTTCAAGGATATATTAACATCCATGTTGGATTTTTACTTTTATTTTATTATCCGTGTTTCTTGGATGAAACTCACAGCTAGTCAGTGGGAAACTGCATGTCTTTGAATGACTTGTGATGCTCAAATACACAAGGGCTAGTTACGTTCCTTTCAAAGCGAGCAATGACTACCCACATTTCAAAATATCTTCTGCAACTTTATTGAATGCTGCTGTAGGACATGCGGCTCAGCCTCTTCTGGCAGCACTTGCCCCAGGCTGTCAGAACCTGCATTATTCCGCAACGGCCTTAAAAATGTTATTGGATGGCAATGCCTAAGCCAGACATGTGCATGTTTGCTAAACATATGGTTACCAGTTTGGCTATAAAGCAGACATTTATTACTGAAAGGAATGTGAGGGCAGAGCGGGAATAAAACCCCTCTCCCCCTTCTACCTCTTTTTGCTATGGTTGGTTTATTTCCGGTACTGGAGCTGGGTTTGAGGTTAGAGTTTAAGCAACAGAATAAAGATATTGGTCTCA